CACGAGGCCGGGCCCGCGTGCGGCCGACCCGCGCACTTCGCCCGCCGGCTGCGCGCAGCCGAGCTCCTGCGGCCCCATGCTTTCTGACCCCAGACCTCACCCGCTGCGGATGAAAAACAGTGAAGACCGCGGGGAAGCGTAGCGCCCGCGGCTGCCCGCGGTGGCAAGAGGAGAAAGCCCGAGGCGTGCGAGTGCGGGGCGGCGAGGCGGGCGCCTTCGGCGCGCGGGCGGGCCCTGCTCCTCCCGCGGGGTGCGCCCGCCGCCCGCGGCCCCTCTCCTCCGTACCGGATGCTTTCCTGGTGGCGGGAAAGTGGAGGTGGTGCCGAGAGGATTTGGGACCGCGGCCCTGACCCCTGCCGCAGCGGGCCGGTCGCTTGATTGTGCAGAAGGCGAAGGGTCCCGGCCCCAGGGTTAGCTGTGAGGGTTAACGAAGAGTTCAGCGCTCGGTTGACCCAGAGGCGCGATTTCTCCTTGGGCCGTTGCTGTGAAGGGGACACACTTGCTTAGTGAAGCAGAGGCTCTAAAGCCAGAGAGACCACTTGGTCAGCGTGACCAAGAAAGGTGACATCGTCCGGGAGAGGTGATCGAGGTGAGACGGCCCAAGGGCAGGGAAGGTGGGCGTGGTCACAGTACGGGCTGGAGGGGCACTGGGCACCCACCCGAGCAAAGCGTTTCAGCGGGCACAGCAGGGAGGCCACTGAGGGGCTGGCAGTGAGGGCACGCGCAGGGAAGGACCGGGACAGCCGGGGCACTGCGGGGATCCGCAGGTTCTGGGGCCGCCGCCCGTCGCAGGTGGCGGATTTCTAGTGACTGGGTGAACCCTCCCAGCCGGTTGGGTTCCGAGTCCCCGCCTCACGGGTGCCAGGGCTGGTTTAGGGTCCTGCTGCGTTTCCGGCCCGTGAGCGCAGGCTCCGGGAAAGGGAGGAGACCGTGTCGTGACCCCCGGAGAGGCTAGGCCGGGCAGCTGTTCCATTATTTTGAGGGCACCTCTGTGGACGTGGTTCTCTTTGATCTCTTGCACTTAAAGCAGGTGCTTGGGAGGGACAGTGTGTGGCTCTTCAATCTTTAAGGAGGGACTGAAGATCTTTTCTCAAATCTGGGGATCAATGTAGGGAACGCTGCGGATCCCTGAAAGCTTTTGTCAAAACTATTTTAGGGAGAAGAGTAAGATACTTGCCTTCTTTCTCTCACAAGAGACCACGTGCACTTTTCCTCTGGTGGCTGATGAGCTCTGTGTTCTTATGCCCAGAATCTTTTAGGGTAGTGGGCTTGGGGTGTGGATATGTGCACTTTCTGAGATGAAATCAGTTTGTTTTTAGTGCTTCTACTGTATATATTCTTTGCTAGCTATCTTCACCTAAACCGGCTCCTAGTCGCTGTGACTTTTAATTCCTGGGTTTTCCTGGGTCTCCATGGAAAAGCAATCCAAAGTAAGTGTATTTTGTGGTCTTGATTTGAAACTTTAAAACATTTTAAGTGGCGTAAAATTATTCTTGATTTTAATAATAATTCTAGCACAAAAGGATACCAATTCATACATTATATACTTAGGAATAGGTTATTGACTGCAGAGGGAGTATTACAAGAACTGAATTTTCACCTCACACCATCTATGTCTAGAAATGTAGAGCAAGATGAAATGAACATCCTAACCATTGCCTGACTCATAGAAGGGAGCAATTAACTCCAGAGAAACGGGCAAAACTAAATAAAAAATGCAAAAAGTGTTCCTGAACTCTACTGCTGTTGGTAATTTACCTTGTGTGTCTCCTGCCCCAGACTCCTCTGATAGCATTGCAGTGCTGGTAGCATCATTTTGAGTCCAATTGCTAGAGTTCTCTGAGGGAAAATAACGAATGGGTAAACTGCGGACAGAATGAGCTCTTTAAAAAGCTCCAGTTTGTTGTTCTAGCTTTTCAGACTAGGAATGAGTCAAGTATTGAAACACTAAAGAGGATAAGTTATCGAATTGTGTTGGCTGGAAAAACACACAATAAAGCCTTGTTTGAGGGGGGTGGGGGGGTGGGTGGTGGTGGTGGGGGAAGCACTGGAAGAAATTAGTCCTGCTGCTTTCAAGGGGTACCGTAACTTGCGGAGATTTAGGGAGCAGAGTCAGCAGAAGTGTGGGGTTTTTCCCTTACAAATGGAGGCACTGTTGTTATTCTCTACTTTGCCTGTGCCCTGATGCTGTCTGTCCAGTTGTGGAAAGATTCTGCAAAATGAACAAAGCGAACTTGTTACCTCAGCTACTGTAGCTTGTGTCTCCCACTGTGAGCCTGGCAGCTCCCCAAAACTCAGGGATTTCCTGGTGAGATCAGAGGTGACACTAGCAGCATGACTTTCTGGTGTTCATAGTGAAGCGTGTTAGTGTTTACTTGGAAGACACGCATCCCTTTCTGATCCAGTGTTTTCCAAAAGTCCAGTTGTGCAGTTTCAAAATCATGCAGGGCTAAGCGATCCCTCGTAAGCATTAGATAGTTTTAATGTAGTAAGGTACAGAAGGTTTATTGACACGGTTCCCAACACACGCTGCAGCCTTTAAGGAAGGTCAAAAGCTAGTTAACCTTTGAGTTTTGCAGAAGCGTTATCTGAAAAGACAGAAAATACCATTCTATTTTCCCCACTACTTTACTGTGTGAGTTTGGATTTTCATACTTGAAAGCAACAGATTGAGTGCCCAAGCGGATCTGAGAATCTGGCTGACTTCTACTAAGATAGATACCAGAGTTTTGTTAAAAATGTATATGTGAACATATTTATTGTTGAATGAATTAATAAAAATGTTTAACATTTGTTGGTTTTGATTCTTCTCTCTCCTTTCCTCTCTCCCCTCCCCTCCTGTCCTTTTTCCCTCCCTTCTCTCTCCTCCTTTGTCTTCTCCTGTCCCCTTCCCTCCCTTCCCCCTCCCCCTCCTTCCCCTCTCCCCTCCCTCTCCTTTTCCCCTCCTCTCCCTCCCCTTCTCTTTTCCTCCCTCCGCTCCCCCTTCTCCTTCCCTCCCCACCTCCCCTTTTGTGCTGGGGTTGAACCCAAGGCCTGTACCTCTCAGCCTCCCCCCAGCCCTAGGTTTTGATTTTCTGTACAGTAAATATAAATTTTGCAGCCCTCGATTTGTAAATGTAAAGGAGTCTTGAAAGTAAAAACGTGAGAGCTGCGGTGTTGCGAGTGCTCGCTAACCATGGGAACACATCGTGAGTGTGGTGGATTAACTTGTGTCGATTTGAGTGGGAACATCCAGCTGAACCAAGTGTGGTTCTGGCATGGAGGGCCCACCTGAGGATTGCTGCAGACACCGTAAACGAGAACAGAAGGGGAAGATGAACGCTGCTGACTTCCCAGGAAAAGCTTCTTTGTGGCACGTTTTCCTGATGCAAACGCACACAGCATCAGCTATTCTTGTGGAAGAAGGAGCTCGGGTCCTCACTATCGCTGAGGATAGCTGTGCTTCTTTTTGGGGGAGCTCTACTCCTTACTTTGAACATGGCTTCCTGGCTCCAGTGCAGATCCCTCAGCCTGCTGGCACAGACCTTTACCCCACCAGCCCAGACTTTCTAGCTTCTACCACTGACCTTTGGGCCTTCTCAGTGCAAATCTTTGCATGAGACATGGTCTCGTGTAGGACACTGCCTTGGGATCCAGGCCCTTGGCTGGATTCTTTGGGTCTGTAGTGTGGACAGATCTCTTCTACTCTTCTGCATTTGACTTTTTGGGTGACTATTATAAGACACTCCTGTAAATTTATGTCCTGTATCAAATCTGTTCTCTTGCATGCCCTGACTACAAGAACGTGGGTCCAGTTTCCTCCTGTGGAAAGGTGATGGGTGTAGTTCCAGATGGTGCTGAGGTCCTTGGGACCCCTTTGTGTGTGTGCTGTAGATTACCGTAGGCAGGGTGTCCCCAAAATGTTCCAGTAATCTGTGGTGGATTACTGGAATCCACCACAGAAGGCCCATCCGAGATATCCTCCTTCTAACGCAGGCCCAGCTGGGAAGCCCAAGGTGCATGCGGGGCCGGAAGGGCAGCTTCCATGGCCTGTGTAGGAGGTAGGCAGGGTGATGAGCCACAGGTGGTTTGTAGAACTCAGGATCCCCCAGAGGCTGGCGAGGCTCCACCTGCCTTATTCCTATGTCCTCCAGAAAATATCTGTGGCCAAGGGTATGAAAGCATGTTTTCAGAAATCAAGATTTTTCTTTATTTTCTGTTACTGGAAACTGGCTATGAGTTGGGATTGTAGGAAAGCATCTGCTACTCTGGTTTTAACCGTTATAAGTCTGCTCAAGATACTAAGTTAAGTTTGGGTTTTACTGGAAATGTGTTGAGCCGTGTGACTTGTTTGCTTTTCTCCCTCCACATTGCAAAACAGAAGACAACTGGGATTTTAACCCATCACCTCTTTGTGAGGGGTGGCACCAGAGGTGACCCTGAAGGTCCGCAGACCCTCACAGGGAGGAGACATCTGGCACATGAGGGTTGCGACCACAGGTCAAAGTGCAACGTGCTGTAGCCTATTTGGGGGAGATGGGCAGCTGGGGTCAGAACCTGCAGAGGGAGTGGCTGGCTCTGGGTCACTCCGACAGCTTGCCAGAGTGCTGGGGACAGAATAGGGAAGATGGGTGTCCCAGGCCGTACGTGTCTGGGCCATCCTGACCTTGAGGGGAGGCCTCTCTGCAAGAGCAGCTGGAGTTTGAGCTATAAGGAAGAGGAGGTGCCTGGAGTGGACAGACGTTTGTCATCTTGGAAGGAGTGAGAAAGTTGCTTTTCTAAATGATCCTTTTGAAGGAGGTGGCTGTAAAACAAAAATTATTCACAGCTTATTAAATATTGCTGAGGATCTTTTTCTTAACCACCTGCTTTTCTAGTCTGCTCCATTCCAAGGACAACATGCGCATGTTAGCATGGATGTCCAGAGCACAGTTAGTAGGCTGAGACCTGTTTTGCCCTCAGATGGCACGTGGACAAGCTGAGTGGTTGTGGTGGAAATGAAAGCCTTTACCTAGGACCTGCAGGCTGGTGTTTAGGTGCTTCTCTCTGTGTCAGCCAGAAGCTGGGTCCTGGTACACTGAGGAACCAGGTCCTCACTTCTTGGTCCTTAGTTCTTTGTGTCTGTGCCTGGGATCAGAGAATTCAGTCAAGAAACATAGGCCCTGCGGATATATAGGTAGAGTTTATTGTAAAGTAGATGAACAAAAGTGTTACTCTTCAAAGGCATCTGCCCTGAGTGTGGATTTGGATATGTTTTCATGCACACAGAATTACTCCTGGACAGAGAAGGAGGGTAACAGTGATGCTTGTCAACTTTTTATAGAGAAATTACTTCAGAATTTCAGAATGTCTTCCTGTCCTTTTAGATGGTCAGCGTCTCCTCAGGGGCTTTCATCACGTAAGGAATTTAAGAAAGAACATTTGAGGAAGACAAGTTCTTAATTTAAACCAGGTTTCAATCCAAGGCAAGAGGGTATCAGAAGAACAGCCCCTTCCCTGCTGTGGTTGGGCTGTCGGATATGGCAGTCCGCATACAAATGCACTGTCCTTGTTCTGGAGTTAGATGGCTGGCGGGTGTCAGAAGGAAGTGCATGGTGTATGACCTTAAGCTGTCATTGCGCTCTGTGCAGTCCCTTTGGGTCTGAGACTAACAAACGATTCCAAACGAGTTTACATTGAGGTCTGTCTGTCTTTTGGGGGTTTTTTTAGGGGTGGATGTTTGAGACAAGGCCTCACTGTGTAGCCCCAGTTGGCCTCAGACTCTAGGTGATCCTCCTGCCTCGGCTTACTAAGTGCTGGGATCACAGGCATGGACAACCTTGCCCGGCTTTGAAGTCCTTCGCTGGCGATGTGTGCTTCTTTGGACACACTTCTTGCGCTTGTCCCTCAGACCTGCTAATGTCCACCTAAGAAATTCTACCTATATGTCTGCTAATGTTTGTCAGTCACCCCCCGTTGCATTAGATCCCTGTTGGTGTCAGCATTGTGCAGGTCTCTTCCGAATCTCATTGGCCCTTCATGTGCCTGGCTGCGTGAGTGCCATCTCATCCCTTTGTCACCAGGCCAGGCCACAGTAGGCACGGGACTGGCTTCCCGCCAGCCAACTCAGCATACCTTTAGTGGGATTCCCAAGCCAACGCTGCTCCTCCGCTGACAGCTGTAGTGTTAATTTCAGCACAAGAGGTCGTTTCCAGGAGCTGAAGAGATTACCTGGCTAACTCTGCTTTTTTTTTTTTTCAGGGTATCTGAGAAGCAGACACGAGTTGTCAGGATGCTGAGCCCCGTGGTGGGTGGCACAGTGCGAACACTGGCCTGCAGCAGCTGGACCTCTGTCCTCCCGGTCCGGTTTCGAAGCGCCTCTCGTCTGCAGAGCCCGGCAGAGGCCCGTTTCCACTCTGCCTCTGCCTCAGAAGCTGGCTGTCCCCGGGTCTTGATTACAGGTTGGTTTCTTCCACTTTCTTTCCCATTTGTGGCTTGAGTGCAGCTTTCTTTGTTACTTCTGAGTGACTTCCTTTGGTTTTGAACATGCGACGTGCCACCAGAACCTCCCCAGGACACCTGTCCCCTCAGCAGGTAAGGCCAGCCAGAGCAGCTGGGCCACATGGCTTCCAGGCTGGACTTGGTGACTGTGGTGGGTGTGGTCAAGGCTTTGGCCCTTGTCCGTGAGGCCTGACAGAGCTGCTGCCCTTTCTTCATTCATTCGCAGAGGCCTCTCCCAGCATCCGCTCTCTCTAGAACAGTGCAGAGCCCAGACCTGCCCTCTGCACTGTTGCTGGCACTTGGTTTCCCTCACGAGATTTTTGCTGTTGCCTGGAGGGGCCTGGGAATCCAGGGCCCCGAATGCTCATACGCGGACCGGCCAGGGAGCAGAGGCTCGGGGACAGGAGGGAAGGGCCAGGAATCCAGACGTTGCTTCCGGACCCACACGGATCTTTCCATTGCCACGCTCCTCAGCTGAGCCCGGAGTCACTCGTCCCAGACTGTTAGTGCAGTATGTTGGGACAGAGATGCTAAGCGAGCACCTGCCCAGCAAGTGCGTCACTGTGGAGCTCACTGTCACCGGATGGACTCCTAGTTCCGCCTTGTTTTGAATGGTGGCCCCTGGCTCTGTCCCTAAAGGCTGTGCGATGTCACTTGCAGAGCACTTCCTGCCAGCTCTAGCCACTGCTCACTGATGGACATGTTTTATCTCTTCCTGCTCTGCCTGGTTTTCTTCTTTGGCTTAGCCTCACTGTGCTCACTCCTGCCTCCTCCAGGGGGCATCCCCAGGTGCCTGGTGTGAAGTCCCATGGGGATGGATGCCCAGGGAAATGCCATCACATGACAGTCACAGCCCTCCTCCCCCATGTGCTCCCTGCCTCTGGCTTTCCTGTTTCCATTGGGGCAGCTGTAAGCTCCACATCTGGAAGCTGCACCATCCCTCTTGCACTTCGTCGGTGACTCCTCACTCATGGAAGCCTCTGCCCTGTTCTCACATGACTTCCTGCTCTTTCTCCCCCTTTACCCTCCTATCCCAGCCCAGTGTGGATGGAGGTAGGATTCTCAGTGGTCCCTTCAGAGGGTTCCGCCACACTGTCCTTGGGATCCGATCCAAGGAGGTTCCTGAAACTGAGATGAGGAACCTAGTCCACCCACCCACGGAGTAGGTCTAGCAAGTTGGCGGGCTCTGCTGACTCCACTGGAGAAAAAGAATTTTTAGGATGTGTCAGTGAGAGGCTCGCAAGGGAAGGGCTTTCAGAGGAAGTTGAAAGGTGTGCGCTCAGAGATGGAGAGGACGCTTATGCTTCTCTGGCGAGGGTGCAAACCCCAGGACAAGGAGGCCCATGCCCCAGAGGGTGATGGCCCATTTTACAGGTATGGGCCTGCTTTGTTTTTCTAAGATAAGAAATTTCAACATTCTTTGGATCCTCTCCCCCGGTTCCTTTATCTTAGGATCAGGGTCCTGCTCTTTGCTTCCTCCATCAGGCCAATCTGTGGACTTGCAGGGCTCCTGAGGAGTTTTGGGTGTGCTGGTTCTGGAAGGAGAGGAGCCTGGATTTAACCAAAGGAAGCTGGAAATGGATCGCCTTGGGTGACTTGGCTCCGGAAGTCGCAGTCTTCTCACAAGTCACCACGTCCTTGTCTCCTTTCCGCCTGTCTTGCATTTCATCTCTCCTACCCCAAGACCATTTGCGTTTGGTGCTGAACCTTCTGGCACCTGCAGTGAGGAGCTCCTGCAGCAGACCGATCGCCGAGGCCGAGTTCTGGACGTGTGCTCTGCATCCTGCGCCTTTTCTCTTCTCGTGCGCCTGCTTCCCCTTGTCCCCTGCCTGCACGCCCTCATGCTGGAGGGCGCCTGTCTCTGAAATATCACCCGCATGGGTCTCTGTCTTAGCTGGGCGGGGTCATCCTGCGCTCTCAGTGCAGTGCTGTTGGCTGAGAAGAGGTGCAGGCGTCGGCCCCACACCCCCAGCCCAACCCAGGATCCTATCTAATCCCCTGCCGCGGGGAAAGAGCCCTGTTACTATGACATTCTGTGAGCCATCGCACTGGCTGGATTTGGATTAAAGTTTCACCCATTTTCCTCTTCCTCCAGGCGGTCTTGGCCAGCTGGGAGTGGGCCTTGCTAGCCTTTTGAGGTAAGAGCTTCGAGATCTTGAAATTGAAAGTCTGAGTTCCCAAGTCTGTGCGGCGCCCTTTGGCACCACGTAGCCATCTTTCTCCCTCCTCTAGCCCCTTGTCACTGGTAAGAAATCACAGCTCAATGGCTGTTTAAAACACATTTTGTTTTATCTCCTAAAACTGCTGCAGGCCTGTAGCTCAGTCCCTCTGCCAGGCCTGGTGCACTCTCTCCTTGCTAACGCAGGCAAAGTAAGGTTCTGGCCCTGGTGGCCACCAGACCTATAGTTGTTTGGGGCAAAGAGAAGAAAACTGTGTAGGATTGGAGGGAGAAGGGCGACTTAGTGAGGAGGAGGAGGAGGTAAAAACCCTCAGTACTGGGAGCAACTGGCAACACATAGAGTAGCCATAGAAGAGGAGGCTGCAGGGAGGGGGCCTGAGCACCAGCGGTTGGAGGCGCGAAGGGGGCAGGTGCCCGGGTGAGGAGGAAGGAGGGCTTGGAGGCTGACCAGAAGGAAGTCGCAGTTCCTGTTTAACAGGATTGATTTTCTAGAGCTTGTTTCATCCTCAGTGTCACCAACTTGCGCGCTCTGGCTTTCCCTTTAGGAAACGATTCGGGAAGGACAATGTGATTCTGTCAGACGTAAAGAAACCCCCCAGTCATGTCTTCTATAGTGGTAAGCCGTGTCTGTGTGGCTGGACATTGTTTCACTCTTAATTCTCAAAATGCAGTTAAAGAAGCAGCCTGTGCCGATGACAGTGTGTGCAGTGGCCCATACCCAGGCTTGAGAAACAAAGAAGTTATTGATTGTATAGAATCATCTTCCGTCTTTTTAATGCTGCTGCTGTTCAAGTGATACAAAAACAGGAGAGCTCTTTGGAACTTGAAGTTAAGTTTGAAAAAATGTATTTTATATTATTTGGAGTAATATTTTTATAATAAAGTCTTTGGTTCCTGCCTTTTGAGTTTTTGATGAACTTATGGCTTAGAACACAAGGATCAAATTCTGTGATGAGGAAAAGGAATTTTAAAAACTTGGAGAAATGAATCACGGTGTTGCATGTAAAATGAATTGTTTGTAAGCTACTGCACACACACAGAATCTCAGAATCCCTGAGGGAAACTTTCTACTGCCTCAAAAACATCTTTAAGTCGAGTGTGGTGGCGCATATCTGTAGTCCTAGCACTCTGGGAAGCTGAGGCAGGAGGATCCCAACTTTGAGCTCAGCCTGGGCAATTAGCAACTTCTCAAACCCTGTCTCAAAATAATAAATTGTAAAATGGGCTATTAATATACCTCAGTGTGAAGGCCCTGGGTTTAGTCCCAGCACTGAGAAAGTGTTACAGTGTCTCTTGGTTCTTCCGGTTGGGGGCCAGCCTTTTGCTGCTTACCCTGAGGAGGGTAACAGCTTGCCATCCGTGGGGACATGGGCATTGAACACAACTGGCTGTATCTCCAGTGTAATTCAGCATGGGGAGCTCACGACCTGCGATCCTTATGCACCCTAGTGGGTTTTTACGAAACTCCACCTCTATTCTTCTCGAATATGCACCTTTCCAGCAGCAAGATACTTGTACGTGCAGTTTGCTCCTGCCCAGGTGCTTCTCTGAGCCTCATTTTCTCATCCGTGAAATGGACGCTGGCCTGGGCACTGCCCCTGGCCTGGGCGCATTCTGCAAGGCATCGGCTGTCCTTGCCTGGGAGGTGGCTGTGGCCTGTGACTGCATCGTAAAGCGCCGTGAGTGCAGTGGCAGGACGACCATTTAGCTCCGCAAGCCCCAGCCTGTTGGCCTCTGCAGCGCCCCATCTTCCTCGCAGGCCCGTTTGTGTATGCCAACGTCCTAGACGCCCAGAACCTGTGCGAGGTCGTGGTGAACAACCGCATCACCTGGATGCTGCACTACAGCGCGGTGCTCAGCGCCGTGGGCGAGGCGAACGTGCCCCTGGCCAGAGCTGTGAACATCACCGGTGAGGGCAGGGTCCAGCTCCAGCGTGAGGGGATCACCCCCGCCTCCTGTTTGGTGGGAAGAGATTTTTCCCAGGTGTGAGAGTGTCTGTTCCTTTCAGGATTGCACAACGTTCTGGACGTTGCCAAAGAATACAATCTGCGACTGTTTATTCCCAGCACGATTGGGGCTTTTGGACCTACCTCCCCCCGGAACCGAACCCCTGATCTCAGCGTCCAGAGACCCAGGACCATCTATGGGGTGTCCAAGGTCCACACGGAGCTCATGGGGGAAGTAAGTGTCCCGCCCGAGGTTGCTGAGTGTACCGGTGTGGAGTGATTCCCAGGGTCCTAGCTCGTGCCTTTTCCCTTGGGCCCTGTAGGGCCTTCTGTGTGGGTCTCCTGCTCCTCCAGCCCAGCCTCTGGCAATGCTTCCTTACCTCACTGTGTTTGCCGAGTGGCACGCCGGTGCCAGTGGCCTTGGTTGCTTCGTGTCCCCTTTGAGTGACTCCATTCTTCCAGGCTCCTGGTTCTTCCAGTTACCTGCTTGTCATTCATGGTAACTTTACAGCTTTCTGCGGAAAACTTGGAGCATCTTTTGGGTTGGTTTTGCTTTGTGTTACTACCCTTCTGTCTCCATACCAAACTCTCCAGTGTTTCTGGTTGGTGGCCTGTTGCGGTCATTGTTCTCTGATCTCTGCCTTCCCCGCCTGCTGCGGTGCTGCAGGGCAGGAACCTGCAGTGCAGAATGCAGGACGGAGAGAAAGGTGCAGATCCCTGCTCAGGGTGGATTTTATTGTTCATGGTGACAGAGTATCATCAAGATGGTGATTCTCTGAAGAGAAAGACTTGAGTGTTTACTGAAGATTAGTGGGAAGTCTGAAATGTCATTTTCTTTAGGAGAACTTTGATGTAACTGCATCAGAAGATAGTTCAGAAGCTGGGTGCGGTGGGACACACCTTTAGTCCCTAAACTCTGGGAGGCTGAGGTAGGAGGATTGCAAGTTGGAGACCAACCTGGGCAACTTAGCAACTTAGTGAGACCCTGTTGCAAAAAACGAAAACAAGGCTGAGGATATAGCTCAGGGCAAAGGCCCTGGGTTCAACCCCTAGTTTGCCCCCAAAGCCGGGGGTGGGGTGTATTTCAGAAGAAAGGTGTTATTTCTTTGCTTTGTTCCATCAGAATTAAAAGATAATTTTTTGAGTAGATTCTCTTGTTTTCTTAGTATTACAATTACCGGTATGGACTAGATTTCCGGTGTCTGAGGTACCCTGGTGTGATTTCCGCCAACTCCCAGCCTGGAGGAGGAACAACAGGTGAGCCTTGTCTCTGAGTTCCTGCGCCTGTGACCCAGCCCTGTCACTGTCCCAAGAGGCTGCTTCGGGTGGATGAATCCGCTGTCTCTTTCCCCAGTGCCGAGCAGGTTTCTGTGCCCTCTCCCAGTGTGGATCTAGACACGCCTGGCACCCCATCGACTTACCCTGGTTCAGGGGTACATGTTGGCATTGTCCATCAGCCACCACTGTACTGGAGTCAAACGTAATACTCAGAACAAGTGTATTAAAACGCAGGAAGACCACCAAGCATAGCCTCTACCTTCAAGTACAGCCTTGTGTCTCAATCCAGAGAGAAAGCTCAATTAAAGGGAACGGTGCACTTCGTGTTTAAGAGTAGCTTAAGTCCGATGCGTTATGTTCAGCAGCCTCCACCCTGGGTTCTTCCCCTCGCGGGGTCCTGAGATGCACTAGAAAAGACGCTTGGCAGAGTCTGAGGGATTTTAAAGAGTCTTTGGTTTTGGTCACTTTGTAAAAGCTTCCCCAAGTGTGGCTTAGGGAACTGGGTGTCCTTGCCTCTCTTTTGTGGATCAAGGAGGTGACAACCACTTTCATATCAGGACAGGGACATTATTGGCCATTTCCCCCTCCTCCCTTTACAAGAGCACCGTGGGGTCTCCGGGGCTGTGGGCCAGGGACAGCGGAACAGTGGAAGCAGCAGGAGGACGGAGCACCGGCCTTGTCCCTCCAACCCCAAGACACTGAGACTCAAAATGCAGGCAGGCTGATATCCTCAGCACGTTTTCTTTTCCCCATAAAGTATCATACATGTTAACTAGTTTTTTTGTCATTTTTGAGTGTAGTAATGCTTCTTTAGAATCTTCGTTAGCTGTGTAAGACAGCGTGGATCCAACTTGCAGCAGTTGTGTCTGAATTAAGACATTGGAGAGCTGCTGCCCGCCTCCCGGGTGCACCTTCATCCTATTGCAAGGAAACCAGTCAGGATTCTCTTTCAGACTACGCCGTCCAGATTTTCCACGATGCCGTGAAGAGTGGCAAGTTCGAGTGCAACCTGAGACCCAGCACCAGGCTCCCGATGATGTACATGGACGACTGTCTCCGGGCCACCCTGCAGTTCATGGAGGCCCCGGCCGAGTCCTTCTCCATGAGAACCTACAACGTCACCGCCATGAGCTTCACCCCCGAGGAGCTGGCCCAGGAGATCGCCAAGCACGTGCCCGAGTTCTGCATCACGTACCGTGTGGACCCTGCCCGGCAGGCCATAGGTGGGTGCCCCACGGCTGGGCGCCCTCAAGCCCAACCCGAGCCTCCCTCGGCTTCCCTGCAGGCCCCGCCCCAGGACACACGGCAGGAGGCTAGTGTGCACACAGCTTTCTCCGGGCCAGCGTCACTGGAATTAGCTGTCATTGAGCTGGTGAGCCGATGCTGAGCTTGGGGAAACGGTGTCAAGTAGGTGATAGGGTTTCATTCCAGATAAGCAGATCAGGGTATTGCATCATTTAGCAGTGTAAGTGTAAAGCAAAGAAAAACTCCAGCCGTGGGTTTTCCTGTACTGTAACTGCTGCTTTGTGCCCTTCCGGGTGGAAGATTCCTACCTTCAGAATTCTGAGGTTCGCACTGTGAGAGTCACCGCCGCTGACAGCGGTCATGATCTAATCTGGTCCTGTGAGGAGGTGACTCTGTGTGGACGTGGTCATTTTGCCCCTCTCTGAGGAGCTGCCTTGTACCGTCTTGTGTGCACTTTGTACCATCAACAGGCGTATAAAAGGCCCTGGACCTTTTGCAGCTCCAGAGCCTGCAGAACCGAGCCACCTTTGTTTCTCCCCAGCTGACAGCTGGCCCACGAGCTTGGACGACAGCCTGGCCCGCAGGGACTGGGGGTGGAAGCACAACTTTGATCTTCCGGAGTTGGTGACGACGATGCTGAACTTGCATGGTTGCGACACCAGAGTTGCCCGAGCCAACTGAAGACATCAGAGGAGCAGTTCCTGGGTCCTGCACGGCCACAAGGGACAACGGTCAGGAGCCCAGGGAGCTGGTGTTCTTTGGAATGGGAGGACAGATCGGGCCGGGTGGGGGATGGTGCCAGTTTGAGGGTTAGGTGGGAGGACTTCACGCATAGTCCTTGCTTTGTGCCTGAAACACCCATGCCATGGAGGGAAGACCTAGGGCATAGTCGTGATGAGTGACCGTTTCTGGAAAGGCGAAAGCATGTGACGTGTGTACTTAATTTAAATAGCACCTGAGGGATCCGTTACTCTCTTGGCCACTGACCAAAGGTTACATTTTAAAGGCGCTGAAGGATATGTGCAGTATTCTTTACTGTCCCATCAGAACATAAAACGTGTTTGAACACGTTAATCCTTTAGTCAGCATGTTCAAGAGATTTTAATGCTGCTTCAAAAGTTACCAGCTCTCTTGTATGTTCCTGTTGTTTTTGTTTGCTGAGACAGGTTCTCCCTGTGTAGATCAGATTTGAGCTCATGATGTAGCCCACTGGCCTTGAATGCATGGCCAACACCTGCCTTAGCCTCCTGAGAGCTGGGGTTATAGTCATGCAGCACCACCCCAGCTCTCGATGTGATGTACCTGGGAAACCTAGGGTTGCGGACATGGTGTAGCAATGACGTTGCCTTCTCTTCCTGAGGTTCCCTTCCTATCAGGGCACTAAGTCGTGTCCACTAGGACCATGACTCCCTAACCTGCAATGTCAGAACTCCAGGGAGCTTGTTTTACATGTGGGGGTCTGAGCTGCACCCCTCGGCCGGACTCAGAAGGTGGGAGAACCCACCAGTCTAGACCAGCTCTGAACACTGCTTTCTTATTGCAGCCTTGCTCAGTTCTCAGACTGAGCTCGCCCCAGAGGAGCTGCTCCAAACCTTCCCACCCGACTACTGTGTAGACTCTCAGGTCACCGCTCAACTACCTCCTGAAGCCACCAGCCAGGGAAGCCTCCACCCCACAGGTCAGCGTGGCTGCCTATGATAATGGCCGTGGATTAAAAGGCATTTGTACTGTGTGCCAATGACAGTAAATAAATTGTTAGCATTTGGAACTTGGAATGCAGTGTGAGTATTTTGGAGGCATAACTAGGTTTAAGATCTACTTTGCTTAACTGGAGAACTTTAGGTCATTGCATTAGTTGGCCACCCTTAATCTCAGTCTCCCTCAAAGAAAGTCTCAGGACATGAGCAAGGTGTAGACAGATTTCCTGCCAGAGCATAACACACATGATTGGGAGTCCAACTGCCAATGGAGTCCTTGTTCTCAACAGAAAGCTCCTGAGCCTGGTGTTTACTGGCTGCATTTCTGGTTCTGAGCTCTGACCAGAATGTCCTGTTGCGGCAGGAGAATAGTACATGGTAAAACTGGCTGGGGAAGTGGGCATGACCTGTTGATGACAAAATCCCAGGACACGTGCGCAGAACAGTTCCCAAAGCCCCACATGTGGATTTCTCACGAGAGCTCAAGCAGTTTCAGATAGGACGGCCTAGACCCGATAGCAGCCTGAGGAGTGGGAGGTACAAAGCAGACAGTCAACACTGAGCCCTCGGCTACTGTGTTCTTTCACAGTAGTTCACTCTCACGCTATAGGGTGTACTTATTTTTCGTACTTTTGCTTGGCCAGCATTTGCTCTGTAGAGCATGTTTTTCTTTTCCTACCTTTACTAGATGTAAAACCTTGCTACCATTTGTGCCTGTGTTGGCCGATTCTTTGTTCAGGACAGGCAGAACCTAGAAACCACCTCTAAAAGGAGACTTAAGCACCTCAAAACCCAACACCGTCAAGCTTGGCTCACAGCATCCCAGGGCTGCTGCTCCAGTGGGTAGCACCAGACCTTTCTGAACTCCTCCATGGACCAGTTACAAAGCTCCAGAACCACATGGTCAGGTAGCCCCAGCAATGATCCCACTCTCAGTATCAAAATCTGTCTTAGTTACTCTCCTTGTCGCTGAGACACCTACAACTGTAAGGAGGAAGGGATTATTTTGGTGCACAGTCTGTAGATGTTTCAGTCCATGGTTGCTGGCTCCAAGGCAGGGCAGAGGGGGCCTGGCGGCCAGAAGCAGGGAGAGACAGATCAAGGGAGGGCTGTGATCTGCTGGTAAGTATCACACCCTCATGGTCCACTCCCCAAAACCCCTCTTAGGAGCGCATGAACCCTTGGAGGGACATCTAGATGTAAACCGTAACAGTAGGCTTTGGGATTGAAACACACACACAGACACATGTGTGGTGCTTGCCTCTGCTCTGGTGTTCTTCATCCTGAGCAAGTGCACGGTCTCCAGCGTGGATATTCTGCTGCAGTACTGTGTGGAATTGCTGTTGTATGGCTCAGGGATGCCACAAGGTCTACTGCATAAAACAAACATAGGCGGGTGTTTCCGCATTCCTTGGCCACCACTGTAATGGCTGATGATGCTACCAGGGTTGAACCAACAGCCTTTGTACTGAGATAGATCCAAGAACTTTTTACTTTGAGATAAGGTCCTACTAAGCCACTAAACTGCCCAGGTTGGGCTTAAATCCAGGGTGCTGGATTATAGGTATGGACCATCATGCCTGGGATTTTCTTTGGCTTTTTTTCCTTCACCTCCTCTTCCCCTCCTCTACCTCCCTCCTCCTCTTCCTAAAAGGTAGGGCCTGGCCATGTTGCCCAGGCTGACCTTAAACTCCTGTCTCAGTCTCCAAGGAGCTGTGATGAAAGGCAGTGCCACTACACCTCACTATTAATAGTATTTTGCAATTTATGTAAGGACAGATCACTAATTTGCTACTGTGTATTATGATGAGGGACTGAATGTTTTTAAAAACTCTTTTCATAACTTTTTATTGAATCCCAGCACTCTGGGAGGCTGAGGCAAAAGGATTGGAAGATCAAGCCCAGCCTGAGCAACTTAGTGACTTCGTGACACCCTGCCTCAAAATAAAAATTGTAAAAAGGTCTGCGGATGTGGCTCAGTACAAAGACCAGGAGGTCAATCCTCAGGACCACTCCCTGAAAAAAGTTTCTATTAAGAATTGAAACAATTTATAAGACACAAAATATAAATCGTCTTCCTCTCTAAATCCAATCAACCAGTGAAGTTAACAATATAATGTGCTTCCTGACTTTTTCCTCCTGTACTTATACAACCTAGGATTAAAAGGTCAAACCTTTTATTTCTTTTTCATTATGAAGGTGGGACTAAGGCAACACTGCCTAGTTTTGGAAGAGACACACTTGTTTGCAAATTAGTATAATAGTGTTTTAAAATATTCTTTAGTTTTCCCAACTGTGGTAAAAGTAATTTAAGCTGGGCGTGGTGGGTGCACACTTGTAATCCCAGCACTTGGCAGGCTAAGGCAGGAGGATTGTTGCGAGTTCGAGACCAGCCTGGTCTACAAAGTGAGCTCAAGGCCAGCCTGAACTGCATAGCAAGACCCTGTCTCAAAAAAACAAATAAACAAAAAAACAAGTAACTTAAATGTAGTTTCAATATTTGCTTCTTAAAAATAGCTGCATCACCCCATAAATAGAATATTTATTTTATAAATAGAATATTTATAGAATATTTATATAGAATATTTATTTTATAGAATAGAATATTTATTTTATAAACAGAATATTGTAATTAGTCATTTCAGAAACATAAAATTAATGGATCATAGGGCATAAACACTTATTTACATAGTCAAATTCCTATTCAGAAAGACATTAATTTATGATGACATTCTCTTCTGTTATCAAGACTTTCCAATATATATTTACCACACTATTGTTTACTTTCGATTTGCTTTTTAAAAAAGTTTTAGAAATACAAATTTCACCCATGAGAGAGTATACCTGCTTTAATATCACACTAAGATGAATTGGTCATTTTTGAAAATAGAATTGTCCCATATCAATCTTTACAGCCTTTGGGCCCTGGATGCCTGACTATCGGGTGGCTGAGTGAGACAGACAGCCCTTTGCCTTCCAATGTGAAAGTCTCCAAAAAAATCACCCAATTTAAATGTGTAACTTTTAGGATAGATTTTTTTTTTATTTTTGTTTTTTTTTTTGTTTGTTTGTTTTTTCTCTGGTACTGGGAACCGAACTCACGACCTTGCGCTTGCCAGGCAGGCGCTTTTGCCACTGAGCTAAATCCCCAGCCCCTAGATTTTTTTTTTTTAAAGTAGGTGAATCCTCTACAAACTATGAGCCAAAATAAACCTCTTCTCTTTTAATTTATGAGTGTCAGGTCTTTTGTCCCAGCAACAGGAAAGTGACTAAGAGACTTTGGTACCAGGAGTGAGGTTGTTGCTGTGACTACCTGAACATGTAGTTCAGAAGCCGTTGGAATTGGCTTGTGGGAGGAGTTTGGATAGTGTGGAAAAGCCAGCTGAAGAAGCAGCCCTACAGTGATGTGAGCCAAGCTTGATGAGAGAGTCTTGTCAGAGTTCAAGACCAGAATGCTGGTAGAAATGCAGATAGAAAAGACCAGGGTCAGGAGGTTTCATTTGGGAGGGACTCCATTGACAGTTGGATTCCAGAACACATGTGTTATGCTCTGGCAAAAAAATGTGTCCATGTTTTGCTTATGTTCTGAAACTGCAAGAGGCTGAGATTAAGGGTGATGAACTAAATCAGTTTGATGGAGAAAATTTCAAGGCTGCTGATCATTCAGGTAGAGGCATGGCTTCTTTGGGGGCTTCTAGAGTCAAGTGCAAACAGCCCAGCTAAATGAGTTAAAAAAATTGAGTTTGGTCAGAAAGGAAGCTCCAGTAAATTTGGGGCCAGTAAAGTTGCAACAAAGAAGAACTTGGTTGCTAAAATGATTAACATTAAAATGAAGCCAAATACTTTCTATCTGGACAATACAAAGCATGCTTTGAGGGCATGGAAGGGATCAGAAAGACCCCACCCTTCACAGACTGTAGGGTGGAAAAGTAAAAGACTTGGCTTTGGGAAGAGAGCCCCAGGGTACCCTGCTCTATAATAGGGGCAGCCTAGAAAATGTGAATTGATTCCTTAGGATTCAGCTTACCATGCTCAGCCATCCAGGCACTCAGAGGCCTCTGCAACCACCAGCAAGTCAGCTGGTGGCAGACCTTGATTTCATCCATATGATGCTGATTTTACAGGCATGCACAATGCAAGAGTTGTGGGGTCAGGGAGGCTTCCACCCGGATTTCAGAGGAAGGCCTGGGAGGCCTGGCAGTGTATGCCTGAAAGGACAGTATGTGAAGCTGTGAGTATGAAGCTGAAAGTGCAGTGGAAACCCCAGAAGGTTGGACAAGCCAGGAATGAGAATCACCTGAAGAAAGCTGCAAGGAGTGAGTAAAGTTAGCTCAAGAGCGAAACCACTAGGATACAACCACTGCCATTGCTGTAGGGACTGGACTGTCCAAGCTGTTTGGAGCTTACATCTCACATGGGTGCTGGACATGGAATTTCAGGATTGAATGCTTACCCTGCTGGATTCTGGTCTTGCTTTGATTTCTTTATTCCTTTTGGAATGGGAAGGTTTACCTGATAGCTTTGTATGTTGGAGATGTTTAACTTTCTTTTAATTTTTACAGGGGTTCACGGCTAAGAGTTTGCCTTAAACCTGAGAGGAAACTTTGAGCTTGGACTTCTCAGCAATGCTGAAACTGTTAGGATTTGGCAACTCTTAGGGATGGAATAAATGATTTTGCATAAAGGGATGCATGTGAGCCTTTTGGGGGCTGGGGTGGAATGTTATGATTTATATCTAGATGGACCCCCAAACCCTCATGTGCTTAAAGAAGATGATCTACTTCCTGTTTTAACTTTAATAAACCAGTATCAAAATACCTTAATTCCAAAATATTTTCCTTAAAGTTATTCATCACATCCATTTTAAGGCAAGAATTGCCTGCTTGTCTTGCCAAAGAATATATAATAGCTAAAATATGGATTTCCATTCTCTGAAATAGGTAGAACTTTTTGTTGGAGCAGTTTGAAAGTTCTTTTTCTTGTTAAATCATATTGTTGCTTTTGAGGGAAAATCTCAAACATTTACTAAACACCTGCCATATGCTTTGAAACTAATTTTACAATGTTTACT